CAAACATGAAGTTGAGCAAACTTCAGAGGATGGTGGAAGACCGGAAGGCCTGGCGTGATCTGGTCCATGGGGTCGCGAAGAGTCGGACTCGACTGTGCGACTGAACAACAACAACAAAGCTCAGTCTACCAGCCTCTTTTAGAGGGAACATCAAATGCAAGCAGTTAATGATTGTTAAAAACTCTAATGGAAGAAGACCAGGCACTCTATCACATTTTAATCCCACCCCTTGCCCAAGGAGCTCAGAGTGGCATACCTGGTCCTCTTCCTCCTCGTAAGAATCCTACGAGGGAGGTTAGGTTGACTACCCAAGATTACCGGTGAGCTTCATGGAAGAACAGAGATTGCTTCTCTGTTTCCCCTATCCTAGACTACGGCAGTGGTCAATGGATACTGTGCTATTGTTATTATGGGATAGCAATCATTCACCTCTTGGGCTGGCTTTGCATTGCAAATGACTGCACTGCTGTTGTTGAGGCATTAACTTCATTCTTCGGATGGCCCGTTTACCACTATAGTTGCACTTTAGAATTCATGCAGAAATTGCTGAGATTGCTTCTTTCGCAGAATAAGCCGCACATAGAATAAGTTGACTTTTGTAAAACTATTTTATTTCAACTATGAATGGATATTAGGAGACAATCACATGATATATAGTCCAGTTCAGATGAAGGTTTTCAAAACAACTGAGGCTGCGGTCACACAGAGCATTAGCCACGCTACAGAGACGGAAGATAGGCGGATTTTCCGGGCGTGATCAAACCGCAACATCTGGGAAGCGTAGAGTTCCCGTGGCTAACCTGAGGCTTCCCGCTGAAGATGCGCCGGAAACTGCGGGACAAGGGTGGGCGTCTGATCAAGTTTCCGGTGGTAGCTCATGGCATCCAGCGCCCGCCCATGTCCTGTCGCAAAAAAGGGTTTTTTCCCCAAGTCTCCACGGGATGCGCACAAGCACCCAACGGCGCATGCGCACACTTCGGTTAAAAAGAAAAAAACAACCCCTGCCACGCCGCTTCTTTGCCGCGCCACAGGATTGACGTATGATCAGCACCTCTCCCCGAACCAAGGGACTTCAGCGGGATGTCTGATCCGGCGGCCGCGTGGTAGTTCGCTCCAGGGCAAACAGCCACGCCTCCCCCCCGCGATATCTGGCCCGTGTGACCGGGGCCTGAATAGCCCAAAAAACTTCATCAATTTCAAACACCACACTTTGCACTCTTCTCTTGCTATAATGCTATGTATGTTTGTTACCAAACTGTTTATTATTTATTGTTAAGAATGGAAAATACAGTTCCAATACAATATCACTATAGCGCATACGCATAGCACAGCTTTTTGTTTGTTCTGTTACTTGGTACTAAGAGCTGTGATTCTCTTATGTTATAACCCATAAGTTGTTGAGCTATAGCCGGCTCCAGTGATGTGTGGATGCAGCCCTAGTCTGGCACTCGAGCCACAAGATCACATTGACGGCCAAGATTCCAGCTTGCTAAGCTTCAGCAGGGTCGGTGTGGCACATGCCTTCAGACCACACCCTGGGCCTCACGGCAAACTCAGAGGTGGGTGGAGTGACACATTAATTGCACTTCTCACATAGAGAGCAGCAGCTTGATCCTGCCTGCTGAGAACCTTGGAGGAACTCTGTCCCCACAGTGGGAGCGGCTTGACGTGCACTGCAGCAGCTAATCTTTGCCGCTCATTCCCCTTCCAGCTGCTAGGGAAAACTAGCAGGACAAGAAGAGATCATGGAAGGAAGCCCTGCAAGACTTGGAGAAGGGCTAGGGTTGCCAGGTCGGGGTTGGAAAATACCCGGAGACTTTGGGGATGGATCCAGGAGAGGGCGGGGCTTGGGGAGGGGAGGGGCCTCAGCATGGTACAATGCCTTGGAGTTCACCCTTCAAGGCAGCCATTTTCTCCAGGGGAGATGATCTTTGTCAGCTGGAGAAGGGCTAAACAAATGATGCTGTGACCTGGATGTCCTGATCTCGGATACTAAGCAAAGTTGGCCCTGGTTAGTGTTTGCATGGGAGACCACCAAGGAATGCCAGGGTCGCTATGCAGAGGCAGGCAAGGGCAAACCCCCTCTGAACATCTCTTGCCTCGAAAACCCTACTAAGCCGCTATGAGCTGGCTGCGAGTTGACAGCAATATATATATATACTAGGAGTAAGTCCCGTTGTGGGAAGAAATACAACAGTCCCTAGAAGGAAGCTCCAGGCGAGTGTCCCGGCTGTGGCTGGTGAGGTGGCAGAGGGAAGGGGAAGATAGAGGGAGGCAAGCCATGTTTATTCCCTTCTGCTTAGCTATAAGGCAGGGCTGTCTCAAGTCATTTTGCTGCCACAAGTGGGTAGTATGGGAGGACAGCCTCATGGTAACAGGTATGGTTCCCTCCACCCCTGACTTATGTTGATTTGCCACATGACGGAGTGAGCTCCCATCTCTGGCCCCAGCTCCTGCCAACCTAGCAGTTCGAAAGCAAGAAACTGCAAGTAGATAAATAGGTACCACTTCAGTGGGAAGGTAACGGCGTGCCGTGCGCCTTGGCATCTAGTCACACTGACCACATGATTACGGAAATGTCTTTGGACAGTGCTGGCTCTTCGGCTTGAAAACGGAGATGAGCACCACATCCCTAGAGTCGGAATCATTCAACTGGCTTTCGAGCAAGGGAAACCTTTACCTTTACCTAGTTGCAGCTAAAGTAAAAAACCACCTCCTCCTATGCCATGTCTTCTGGGTTCCAAGAGTCTGGAAAACAGTTCCATAGCCAGTTACAGGGTTGCCAACTCTGGGTTGGGAAATACCTGTAGATTTGAGGGGTAGAGCCTGGGGAGGGCAGGGTTTAGGGTGGGGAGGGGAGGGACCTCAGCAGGGTATAATACCATAGGGTCCACTGGCCAAAGCAGCCATTGTCTCCAGGAGAACTGAACTTGGTCATCTGGACAGTAGTTGTAATAGCTGGGAAATTTTCTGTAGGGGAAATGATGTGCTGTGGGTGGGGAGATCTCCAGGCCCCACAGGGAGGTTGGGATATGTATTTTACCTCAGGACGCCCAACAGCAACAGCAGACTATTTAGAATGTTAGAGGCAAAGGCTATTCAGGCCAAATATGCAAATGACCTCTGTGTTCTGACTGGCTATGGGGGGGGGAGGAACAGCAAACTGTTTAGCATGTTGGAGGCAGGACTCAGGCAACACAGCCAGTGGATAGGGAGACCCTCTGAATGACAGATCATTCAGCCAACTGATTTTGGAGCGTGTTGGAATGTTCAGGGGAGTCCATGACCAAAACATAATTTTATATATATATGTATATATTCTGGGGTATGTTCTGGTTTGGCAAATGTGTTCCAGGAGCCCTGCACGCAGACATATGTGGGCTCAATTTAGATAGTTGGGATGTACGTACCCGGGGGGGGGGGGGGGGGGGGAAGAATTACCATGCAGTTAGGTCCTCAGCTGGGGCTTTTAGGAGTGGAAGAGAAAGCATGAGGGAAGCAAGAGCTTTCAGCCTATCCAGTTTTCTTTCTCTGTATGGGGCGTTCAGCATCCTAAAGCAGAGCTGGGCTTCTTTGCAAAATGTGCAGCCTTGCTCCGAAAGAGAATTATGTGTGCAAAGGCAGCATAAGGGAATAGCTGCAAAAAAAATCTGTGTAGTGAAGGAACACAGTATTTTAGCAATCCTCAACCTTTTTGACCCTGTGGGCGCCTTTGGAATCCTGGCGCAGCCACAAAATGGCTGTTCCTCCCTGCTTACCTTCAGTGACACTGTGAAGATCCTTGCGCCGTGGTGGCAGCTGCTGCCAAAACAATGTTTTTTTAAAAAATCTGCACAGTCAATCAAAACTCCAGTATCCAATGAGAAGCCTTGGTGAATTAAAGCCCCACCTGGCCCTCCCCACTTTCTAAAAACAACTGGGTACCAGGGAAGATGTTGGCGGATGCCATAGCGCCCGGGGGGCACCACGTTGGGGACCCCTGCAGTACATGATTGGTTGCACTGCATCACACCAGGACACTGCATACAAAATAATGTTGTGTTCCCCAAATGGCACGAGAAACCACAAGAAACAACACTTGGGATGGAGGTTTGTATGCTTGACTGGTACACTTTATGGTTGAACCTAGATGTGTTGCAGAAGATGTATCAAGTGTTCCCTGAAGATTTTTAAATATAGTCACAGGAAGCTCCCAATTTTATCAGAGCCATCTGTAGGGAATGACAAGGGAGGGGAATCAAGTGTTTAATATTCTCCTCCTCCATCATTGATTTGCTAAAAATAGACTTTCCTAAGTTAATTTTCTCCATACGTAGGGGAAAATACAGGTTTGGCTATTTTTCCTTCTCATAAATGGGAAAACAGATGGGAGCGGGGGATTTTGAGTAGCGAAATATTAAAAGGACATGAGTGGATAAATATTAGAAGGACAGAGGTTAACACTTGTTGGCCTGTCACTGGCCCCTGCCACACGGCAGGGGAAAAGCTGCCAAAAAGCATGGCTTTTAAAAGCCGCTCCAAAGTTGAAACGGCGCGGCGGGATCCCACGGATCCCCTGGCCGCACCGCCTTTTCTCCCCGGCACGATCAGACGCCGGGGAGAAAACAGATCTGACGGCGAGCCAGCCGAACTGCGCATGTCGGAGCATGCGCAGTTCGGCTAGGAGCCGGGGATGCGCAGTTCGGCTAGGAGCCGGCATCCTTGCGCCGGCGATCAGACTCCCAGTTTGCGGCGCACCAACTTGATGCGGCTTATCGCGTGGATGGGCCAGTTCGGGGACGGAAGCACTACGCTTCCCAGATGTTGTGGTGTGATCGCGGCCGTTTGCTCCGCCCCCGAACTGTCCTGCTCCCGGCCAAATCCCCTCGTGTGAACGGGACCACTGAAAAGATTTGGATTTGCCTGCACCTTCGTTTTCCTAAAAAATAACACTAGATGCTCAAATTCTGGCTACTTCTGATACTTCACTTCATTAGACCTGTGATTTTTAACTGTGGCAGGTCCAGAACCGTCCAACATCCATTGAGTGGAATGGCTGTGACCCACAGAAACTCTACACTTTGATCCTCACGGACCTGGATGTTCCAAGCAGGGTGAACCCAAGGCTCAGGTAAGAAAGCTCAGGTGCTCATTAGTCACTGCATTTATATTCAGTCTTTCTAGCTGAGGGCTTGAGGCAGATTACACAATTTAAAAACAAATCAATCTAATAAAAGCAGTATAGTAGAGACAATGCATAAAACTGGATTGCAGATTTAGAGAATGCAAATACACACAACAAAGCATTAAAGAAGGATTACAGCAGCACTGGAGAATAATGCAACAGTGGCCAAGTCCCTCTCTTACATGAAGGGGTTGTAGCTGATGAATCAGCCACAATAGATCTAATCTACGTTGCTATCTTTCTGAATCCAAGCTGAGTACCATCCTGATTATTTTTCTGTTTTTGGCCCATCTGCTACCTCTGTGTCTTGTAATGTGCTCTGTCTTGAGTATTTTGTTTTCTTTTAAGAGGGAATATTTTACCCGAGGGAAAAAATATAGAACTTTTCAAAAGGAAGCTTTGCCATGATAATCATTTCACTACACGTCAGCGTTCCTGTTGTTGTTTAGGGATTACAACAATCGGTACATTTGGGGGAAATGACAAAATTCATTCAAGTTACACAAGGGACTTTGGTCTTATATTCTTTATCCTCCCTTCACTGACAGGGATCTGTACAAGAGAATGTCTGTGCTTGCAGGAGAGGATATGCATTGTGAATTTTGCTGATTGCTTTCAGGAATGTTTGCATTGACCCAAACGAGGCTCTGCAGAATTCCTTGGCTCCATTGCCAAGGAACCTAATAATTCTGATGAAGTCTGAGGATCCTGGGGTTGGGATATGTGTTCTGCTACAGAGGCTGGAAATAGAGATCCTGGCGATATCCCTTGCAGACGCTGTGGCCAGCATTTGCGATGTTTGGATAAACTGCAAGGAATCTGTGTCACTATAAACAGGCCTCTCAAGTTCCGAGGTCTCCCATCTACACATAAAATGATACAGTTGAGTGGATTCTTGTTGCTTCAGCTTGCTGATGGTTAATCACATGTTCTCTTATTTAACTCCCTGCAAGTAAAAAACTAGCACCACCTTTCTCCATGATGTTCTAGTCTTCTACTTACAGGGAGGCTTTTTTGTTTTTTAAAAAATTGTGGAAATAATAATGTTGGTGTCTCCCACCTGCAATATGAAATAGAGCATTCCACTAGCTTCATGCTGCCATCTTGGAAACCCAAACCTATTGCAAATGAGGCTCCTCAGGTGTGTGTGATGAATTTCAGACTGGCACATGGAAGGGACATGACCTTCCAGCATGATGGAAAACTAATGGCAAAGCTGAGTTCCCCTGCTGAACTCTAACACTCATGTTCCCCTGTTTATTGGCTTTAGAGAATGGCATCATTTCCTGGTGACCAACATGAAAGGCAATGACATCAGCAGTGGATGTACCCTATCAGAGTATGTGGGATCGGCACCTGCTAAAGACACAGGTAGGTAATCCACTGTGTACCTTAAAGATCATTTCTCTCTGTGTGTGAGCTCAACCGTCCCTTAATCCCTACTGGAGAGCTGAGGCCTCTGGAGACCCCAGGAAAGGGGTTTCTCTGTAAGGAGCCTCGCTCAGGGAGCTGATATGCATCGAGATACAGGCAGACCTCCAGAGGTGCATCTGCATCAGCTGCACAAAAGGAAGCCTGGCTCCATGGATTAGTTCCCACGTTAGATTGGGAGGTTTGTATACATGGGATGGGCAGCAGTGGCTAATCCTGTGTGCATGCGCCTCTGTCGTGCCACATGTTCTGCACGCACACTAGCTACATTCAGACACCAGGATAAGCCAGAATTAAATTCCAATTTGCTGTGACAAACGTGAACATTGTTGTGTCTGTACTCCTCCCTCCTTGCACAGAGTGCACAACTGAACTGCACTCACCCATGACGACTAGTTGCATGCATCTAGACAGAAAAACTACTATTATAACTATATATGTGTGGCCGGTCTAGCGACTGTAATACATTCTATTACTACATCTAAATTAGCATTTTCATTTCCCATAAACTGGGATTCTAAAACAGAGGCAAATGAATTCCAGTTCAGCCTTAGGGACTAGAATTCAGACATTCTGGTCAATGAAAGATGTTTTCTTGCTCCGCACAAGACAGGAAAGGGTGAAAAGAATAGCAAGGTATGACTAATTGCATCTGAATATCACTGTGTCTTTGGGAGGAGGCTTCCTAAACATACAGTAGGTGAAGTGAGGATTGGTTTGAGCAGGCTTTGCTTGCCAGTGCACTGCTCTGACATTATGGCGTCTTGTTTTCAAGACTAACAGACTTTGCTGGCCACTGGCTGGATGACTGTGCAGTGGGTCGGCTGTCTCTCTGACCTTCTCCATGCTTGAGAGGAGACAGATGGAGTGTGATAGCAGGGTCTCAGTTAATTACTCTCAGCATTCCACAATTAAGGATACATCTGCCCATCAATCTCCAGTTTTGGTATATTTCCGTCACTATGTTTTCCCCGGAATTAAACCCAAACGAATGGTAACCATATGAACTAAGCTTGTTATTCCTGTTTGGTCCTTGAATCTATTAAACATTTTCATTGTGCTGTGTGCTAATTTACTGCTCACCCTCTACCTATATGTATGGACTGGCAATTTCCATTGAAGTGTGCTTGCACACGAAAGCTTATATACCCGAAATAAAACTTCATTGGCCTTAAAGGTGCCACTGGACTCAAACTTTGCTCTGCTGCTTCAGACCAACACATCTACTCACCTGAATCTATTGAGAGGAAGGCACTCTGAATGTGAGGGCAGCAAAGCAGGAGATGCCTGGCAAGTACATGATGTTCAAGACAGGCAGAGACCCAGCTCAGCGCTGGCACTCAGAAACCAAACAGGAATAGCGTGCGTTGATAGATTTCAGGGTGGGGAGGCTATGGAGAGATTAGCGCAAAGCTACCTTAGATCAACTCTGAATGCTGTCCAAACACAGTTCAGGGAAAGGGTGTGTGTGTGTGCGTGTTAGAGTTTTCCTTTTGTCCTGACAGCTTTTTAACTTTTTACCTGGCAGGGTGGCACACATGCTTGAGGCCCTTTTTCCCCCTGAGGAAACATGATAGCCCTGTGCTCCAACAAGGCATCAGTATCCTAGGGAACAGCGGTCCAAATAACACCTCCCCGGGACCATTTCAGGTCACACAAACAATGTGTATGTGTGTGGGGGGGGGGAAGCCTTTTCTCGGCATGCACCACACAGATGTGATCTGATTTGGGCACCCTGTAGGCGGGGACTGAGGGGAACCCATGGCTCACCTCTGTTGTTACACAGGGCAGGAGCCCCAGAACGAACCTGTGTAATGTGTGAATCAGCTGGACCATGGGAAGGCACCTTGACAGACCTGATAACCCCAGGCTGAGCTCACAGTTATCCTGAACTCAAAGAGAGAGGAGTCAACATGGGTCAATGCTGAAACACGATCTTTTGACCCCATGAGTAAAGGATTGTCAACTCTGGCTTGAGAAGTTCATGGAGATTCCCCTGGGAAGGGGAGGAAGTTCAGTGGGAGTGTGATTCTGTAGAGCCCGCCCTCCAAAGCAGCCATTTCTTCCAGGGGAACTGATCACTGTAGTCTGGAGATCAGGTGTAATTCCAGGAGAAACTCCAGACTCCACCTGCAGGCTGGTAACCCTCCATAAGTAGGGGCTGTGTGGGTAGGCAGGCTAGGTCTCCTGCTATAGAGGGAGATCTGCTGCTGCCTACCCAAAGTTCTTTGCCAGTGATTCCAAGAACGTCGGGGGGGGGGGGAGTATGTGCGTGTGTGGAAACTAAGTGGTTAAACCATAGAGTTTTTTTGGGTAAATCCTAGAGCATCACCCCTAATGTCATGAGATCACTTCCAGTTTCACCAGAAGTGATATTGTGCACCAGCACAAGGCAGTACATCTGCCATCCCCTGGCAACTCTGTGACAGGTACAGCCCCCTGCATTGGCAACTTAAAAGAGACCTGCAAGTCAAACATTTGGCTGGTGGATTAAGTCATTACATGAATTTCAGCCTTCCTGCTTGCTTGCAACTCTCCTCTCTCCCTGCTTCCGTTCTCGTTTTGAGCTCTATCCTAGCCCCCGCCCCCACTGCTTCCACAGGCCTTCCTACCTGCCCTCTTCCTCTACAGGACTGCAGCAGGCTAGCCAGCGGTATCCAGAGATCTTTCTGCCTCCCTCTTCCCCTCTGTGACCATTAGGAAAATTCAGCTAATCATGCTAGAGGCTTCGTTATCACACAAAGGTCTTCAGGACAGCCCAAAGTAGATCATTATGCCATGCATTTGGTGGAAAATGCCATCAAGTCATAGCAACCCTGTAAGGGGTTTTCAAGGCAAGAGATGTTCAGAGGTGGTTTGCCATTGCCTGCCTCTGCGTAGCAACCCTCATTGCTTGTCTCCCATCCAAGTACGGACCAGGCCTGACCCTGCTTAGCTTCTGAGGCCTGACAAGATCAGGCTAGCCTGGATGTGGTCCTACCAGTTTTGGATCCACAAACATTGTTACAGTATTGTAATGGAACATATTGAAGAATCTGGATCCTTTTCAGGATACAAAATCAACAGGAAAAAGACAAAAATGATAACAAAATTTTTAACTCAACGACAACAAGAAGAAGATATCATAAAGAGTATAGAATGTACAGTAGCCATCGATTCTATTAAATATCTGGGCATAAACATTGACTGGACAAAACTCTAATATTTTCAAAAATAACTATCAGAAGACCTGGAAACTGATACAAGATTTATCCAGATGGAAAAAATTAAAATATCTCGTGGCTGGGTAGAATTTCAGCAATCAAAACGAACATATTGCCAAAATTAAATTTTCTATTCCAAATGCTACCTATGCACATAGAAGAAAGAATATTGACAGTGTGGCAAAGACAGATAAATTAATTTATTTGGAAAGGCAAGAAACCAAGAATAAGTTTTAAATTGAGAAAAAGAGTTAGCAGTTCCAAATATAAAATTATATTATCAAGTGACAGGCCTGGTATGGATTGTGGATTGGATTAAAAATCCAAGACAAAAAATAGTAAAACTTGAATCAGCAAATTTAGATGAAGGTTTACATAATTATTTATGGATAGAGAAATCAACCAAAATGATCACAACACAAGAAAGGAGTCGTATAATTAGAGATGGACTTTTGAGAATATGGTTTAAATGTTGGAACTTCTTGAGTCTTCAAAATTCTCTGTGTCCCCAATAGAATTGCATTACAAAGAAATACAAGAAATAAAAGTGGTTTCTTAACGTACGGTAATATGGTAAATGCTCAGGGGAAACTTAAGTCCTGGCAAAATATTAGAGATGAAGGAATCAATATTCAGTGGCTGTCATATCACAAATTAGCTTCCAGATTAAAGAAGATCATTAACATGGAACAGGGAGCTATAAGAGGGATGACTGAGTTTGAACAGTTGATTACAAAATAAAAAGATCACCTGTTACAATGGATAGACAAGTTATTACTTCACTTAGAAACAGAAGAACAAGTGAAAAAATGTATGATTAAATGGATGCAGAACTTTAGAGAGCAAATACCTATGCATCAAAGGGAACGGTTATGGGAAAAAGAAATTAAGTTAACTGCCAGCCAAGTGCTAAGAGAAAATTGTTATAAAATGTTTTTCAGTATATTACCCCAAACGATACTGAGAAAGTAGATAAAAATTACCAGTGAAAATGCTGGAAATGTCAAGATACAGACCGAGATTTTTACCATATGTGGTGGACTTGTAAAAAAGCAAAAAGATATTGGAAGGGAATACATAAAAATAATCCAGATTCACGCTTGAAAGACATCACCTCCCTATGGAACCCTGGGTAATAACCATACTGCTAGCACATGAGGCGCCTGAAACGACTTGCTTGGTGGCAAAATATCTTTCAATAGTGTTATTTTTAAAGCAGCTTTGAAATGTTATAAGTAGTTTTATGTATATAATTTAAAAATTTTTAAACTAATTTCCATAATATCATGGGATTTTATAGAATTCATTGAAGTTTATAAAATGTGGTCTGATAATACTGTTCGAGAGCATGTTTACTAGCTTTTATTGTAAAGACATTTGGTCTAGCTTTTATTGTAAAGATGTTTGGTCTAAATTATCTTGTAATTATATGTAATGCATTTTATAGTTGCTGTTTGTATGTTTGGCTTAAGACCTCGGGTCAATGAAGCTAATAAATGAAATGGAAATGGAAAAAATGCAGAATATATTACAATTCAAATTCCCCTTGAAAGCTAAGAATGTGTTATTAGGACTACTGCTTAATAAATTACCAAACGTTTTGGAACAGATATTTGAATATATGATAACAGTGGCTAGAATCATCTGTGCAGCAAAATGAAAGTCAGATGTCTGTCCAAGCTTAGAAGAATGGGAAAATAAACTTGCCAATTAAGCAGTAATGGTGAAATCAACAGCTTATCTGAGAAACAGATCAAGTTCAAAATTTGAGGAGAGATGGAATGTCTATTATGTAGGAGACAAACTTAGAATGAGAAACAGTTCAAAATTTAGAATAAGAAATAATTTAAAATTGTATATAAATGTATGGCAATGCATACAAGTGTATTATAATTTAGAAGCAGAATGAGCATAAGCTTTGAATATGAAAGCAGAAGGAACTAATTTTGAACAAAAATACCTCCTTTACCATGATATATATAATATATATCTATATAATTCTTTACTGTGAGATATATAATAGTAAAGGTAAAGGTTTGCCTTGCTTGAAAGCCAGTCGAGTCCGACTGTAGGGTTGCGGTGCTCATCTCCGTTTCAAAGCTGAAGAGCCAGCGCTGTCTGAAGACGTTTCCGTAGTCATGTGGCCGGCATGACTAAACACCGAGGCGCACGGAACGCTGTTACCTTTCCACCAAAGTGTTACCTATTTATCTACTTGCAATTTCTTGCTTTCGAACTGCTAGGTTGGCAGGAGCTGGAACTAGAGATGGGAGCTCACTCCGTCATGCGGCACCCTGGGTCTCGAACTGCTGAACTACCGACCTTCCACAGCCTGCAGTTCAGTGTCTTAACCAGGGGTCGTTTCGTAGAAAAAGAGCTAGGGGAACTCATTAGCATAACTCATTAGCATTTGCCACACCCCCTGACTTCATCGGAATTGTGTCATAAGGCCACATCCACCACTCAGTTAGTCTTAGTCTTAAAGGTTAGTCTTAAAGGTGCTATTTGTTAGTCTTAAAGGTGCTATTTGAACTCTTGGACTATTTTGCAGCAACAGACTAACACAGCTACCTCGGGGAAGCTCCTGGATAGGACTGGGAGTCCTTGCGGAGGCGTGGAGTGGCCTCGGCCAGGCAGAGGGGGAGGACGCCAACTTACCCTCTGCTTCTTCCTCCTTCTGCAACAGAATGAGGCTGGAAGCAGGGGGCGGGGCTTCATCGTGTGCCCCGCCCCCGCACCTCACCTGGGGGAATGGCGATCCCCGGCGATCCCCCCCGAATCGACCTCTGGTCTTAACCACTTGAGCCACCGCAGCTCCTTATATATAATAGATTTTCCTATAAATTTTGGTATATTAAAAGCAATAATTAGTATGTAGAAATGACAAAATATTTAACACAGAATATGTGGCAATTATGAAATTAATAATATAGTTGTAAAATAGATTAGTTATGAAATCTGGAATTCAAAATGTTTGAAATGTCTTAAAATTATAATGAAGTAGAGTTGGGGAGAAATATTTTCTGTTTTACATACCCTGTAATGTGGTATTCCTTATATATTACTATATAACCCTCCTTTCCTTTTGTATCCCTTATATAGCACTATCTTGTTTTCTAGTATATAAAGATCAGGCTAGCCTGGGCCACCCAGGTCAGGGCTGCATTTGAATTACCCCACCCCAAATGCTTATGGAGGCATTTTTAACCACCCAGCAGCCCTGTTGAAAGATGAGCCCTGCAGTGTGTTGCTGTTCACACCTCACCCCCCACCCCCGCCCTGGGCTGCAGGAGGGCTGGGCGTGCATTCCTCTGCTGCCTGAATGGCTCTTTTGTGTGGAAAGTTCACACCCGTATTGGAACTTGATATTGTCCCCCTTGTACAGTCTTGCCCCATAACACTTCTCCTGGATTTATTTTTGGCAGGAGGTTGCAGGTGGCCTCAGGGGTTCAAAGCAAAATCCAAAACCAAAAGTCATGTCATACCACCTACTAAGACCAGTACCGATAACATAAAACATTGTGCAAGCTTTCAGGTTCTCCAGAAGGCATCACCATGCCAGATGTTACAAAAGAAAAAGGGGGTGGGAGGGGGGGAAGTTCAAGCCATAATCGGGGCAGACTAGGAGGGGAAATGGCCTAGCCCAGCCCCCCCCCCCCCCGGGAGTGGCAGAGGCAGCTTGCTGGCTGGCCAGAACCACAACTCACAGGGCTTGGCTGGGTGCCTCTGTCCACGTGCTGTGTGTATCCGTCCACATGCCACACACAGCTCACCCAGGCTGGGAACCACTCTTCTACCCCTGGGCAGGACTGGCCCAAGTGTGTGAGTGCTTGAACAATGCATTAGTCCACCTTAGGATTTTGCCTGGTGGCTATGATGGCCAGTCTTCCCCTTAGAGGCTCTTCTCTGTATCCTATGCATTTTTGGCTGGTTCTGCTAAGAATTGACTTGCTGGGTTAGACCAAGACCCAGCTTGCATTTGCTTGCCCTCAAAAGTTGATGGTTCTAACTGGTCACATGTAGGGCATTAACGTGATGGCCTTCCTCCCTTAACAGATTGTGGGAGTAGTCAGTGAGACATTGCCTCTAAAACTGGAGGCTCTGTTTATTGTGGTGGATGGTGGTTGACAGAGTCATCCTCCATGAATTGGCACCGCCCTTTCCCAGGAAGTAAACTGCAGCCCGGCATCCCACCTTATGGCAGCAAGTTCCATAAATGAGTTATGGGTTGTACAAAAAACTTTATATCTCCTGGACCTGTTGTCAATCACTTTCATTGCGTTCTCTCCATCTCCTGAAGTCTCATATTGTAAGCTTTGTTCTGCACTGTATGTTGTTCTATAACATGCCATTATGGGCCTGCAGGGTTGTATCTTTTTATATTAAAAAAACTTCAAGACACTAAATGCTTTAACGTTTCCTATTTCCAACACTATCAAAAATGACCCATAAAAACAATTAGTTTCGATGCTGAGCTTCCAGTACGGCGCAGTGAGCGAGCGGGCATTCTTTGGAACTCCCAAATTGCCCACTCCCCTCTTTGCTCCTTTGATGCTTTCCCGGCTCACCGAGGGCATCGCCCAACCTCTTGGAGGGAGGTGGGTTGCAGGAGGCGTCACTCGGTCACCTCCCACACCTGGCAAGTGCCTCGAAGCAGGAGCGACCGAGGGAAAGAAACATGGCTCCCATGTTTTTTTTAAGCTGCGACCAGCCGTTTTAAAGACTGTTTCGTGTATGGGGTTTTTTTCTTTGATTCGTCTTGCAACAAAAGAAACTTGTGAGTATGCAATTGCTCTCTCTACAATCTGTGACGACCTTCATTAAATGACTCCCATAAGATTAGCTCAAACTTTTGAAATGTATAAGCGGCCATGGAAAGGAACGGAGCAAGTGATAAGGAAATGGCGTTAATTGGGGAAAAGGAAGAAGACTCAGCAGGAGAAACAATATTAATTAACTTAGAAAACAGTGAACTTGGATATATAACCTTGGACCAATTCAAAGAAATTCTATCTAACGAGCTGAGGCTGCCTGCAAAAATATTATTAAAAACCTTCTAAATAAAGACCTAGAATTGGAAAGCAAACAGAAACCAGAGCTGGAAGAGAAGGAGGAGCCCCCACAATGTCAGTGTTCTGTGATTTCAGAGAAAGAACAAGGAGACTGCCAAGATAAAAAAAGTACAAGACTCATTTTGTATGGTGATGGAAAAGAAATGCTCCCAGATAAAAAGTCGAGTAAAGTATTTTGCAAAGCGAGCCAAGACAGTAGGATTTACAGAAGGAAATGCCTGAAAGCAACTTAATGCAGATACGAAGAAATGGAGTAAAAAGAAAATGAGACAATTTCTAAAGAAAAGGACTAATGACTGCAAAGCACATGTGCCAGATCTGATTAAACAGGAAAAACAAGATGGAGCAGATATATATGAGTATAAAGAGGAGAAGCATCAAAAAAGGATCATAAAGAAGAGGGCGCTTCAGGAAACAGGGTTGCCATCTGTATTATGCGGTAGCATAATTCTTTTTCTTTTTTATATACCGAATGAAATGTGGATGGTGTTAAAGGATGGAAATGAATGTATTGGACTAAGGCATTTTGATTCATTTTGGAATGATAATAAGAACTTTAGACCTCTGTGCAGTTTAAAGGTTAAGTACTTTTGGGTTATCTTCAAAGCTTATTTCTGTTATTGCTTAAAAGGATTATTTTTGTAAGCATAATACAGAGAAACTAAGTACTGTAAGAAGGATTGGGGTAGTCTATTAATAACTTTTACCTGAAAAAAAGAAAGTGAGTGGTAAAAATTAATTTATATCTGACTCCAGATCGTTAATTTTGAATATCTGATTTTTGGGGCTAATTATATGCTTGGATACTTCCCAGTAAATGGTTATATACACCTGAGTTATTTTTAAAATTTTATTTCTAATGTTGTTTACAGGGGTTATTTTTGCTATTATAATGTAAAGAAATGAAATAGGGCTAAAGTTGTGAGTATTAATTTGTTGTTAGAATATATAAAATATATGGTTAAGATTAGAAAATAAGGTCATGGACCTGTTGGGGTCTGGTTAAGCATTTGGGAAACTTTTGCCGAGAAGACTATTGGAGAGCTCAGCTGTTGTTGATATCTGTTGAATGAAATAAAAGAAGATAATATGATAGGTAAATACTTAGAATGTAAGTCTGAGAACCTTTATATTTTGGGCTGAAAAGTAGACTGATGGAGTAGAAGAAATATGCGTTGATTCATATTGGAAAAATACTTACGATATGAAGAAATATCTTAAGTTTGATTGTTGCAATGGTGTTGAAAAATGTAATCTTTGGTTGGGTATTTGTTTGTTGGTTTATCAACGTTTGTTTTATCTTTAAAACTCAATAAAGAAAATTATTTTAAAAAAACACCCCCCCCCCCAATGAGTAGTTTCGACTTTGCCTTCCTCAAAGACTTGTATTGTATTTTTGATTCATGCAGGTCTTCACCGCTACGTATGGCTGGTCTATGAGCAGCCCCAGCGACTGACCTGCGATGAACCCGTCTTGAATAACATCTCAGCTGCCAAGCGGGAGAATTTCCGAGCTGCGTCTTTCCGCAAGAAGTACAAGCTGGGGGCCCCTGTGGCAGGCGTGTGCTACCTGGCCGAATGGGATTGCTTCGTACCAAAGATCTATGAGCAGCTGAATGTCAAATAGAGGACAGCCTAGAATTTAGATCCCACCTGGTCACAATTGATCCCCTCCTTCCCTACACAATATGTCCAGTGGACCACCCTTGCAGAATTACAAAGATTACCTCTCTCTCCGTATTCCCTACCTGCATCTGGAGTCACTTGAGCTGCATTCAGATGGTGTTTGTCAAGAGGAACAGATCTCTACGTAGTGTGTATCCATCTCTTGGACTCTGTATGTCCCCAACCTCTTTCTATGGAGAGCATTACATTTGCAGGCCCCCAGCAAGCAGAAATTTCAGGATAAGTCCTTTTATAACAATATAAGAATTTTACAATAACCTGCTTCTCTGGCTTTTTGGTTTGTCAAATGTGCAAAAACAGTAACCCAGGAATAGTTACTTACATTGCAGGGTTGGTTTAAGGATGAAGAACACACAAAGCTGCTTTATTGCAACTCAACAACATGGAGAGAGAAAAATATCCTCCCCCTTTACCAGAAGCTTAATGGGATGCTATTTACCAAGTGATGTTATTTAGCTCCATGCCATGAAAAGCTTCAAGTGTCCATTTCCACACATTAAAACTCTGTTAAAGGGGCAAAGCACTTTTCCTTCAGGTTGTTGGCAGCTCTCTTGGTCCATCAGGCTCTGTATTGTCCGCTCTGACTGGCAGGAGCTCTCCAAGGTTGAGGGGAGGGCAGTCTTTTCCAAAGGGCTGGAGCTTAAATGCTGGGGCTTGAACCTAGGATCTTCTGCATGCAAAGTGCTGAGCCACTGGCTTGCAAAGAGAAAAGGGAACATCCTTCATTCTCTTACAAGATTGCAAAATCTAGTTTCTGCCTGCTGAGCTTCAGTCAGGCTCGGTAGTAAAGCACAAAACTTGCAATACAGAAAGCTGCATGTTCAGTTCCCTCTCCTCTTCAGTGTTAGGATCCCCAGTAGCCGAGCTGGGGGGTGGGGGGAACCCTTTGCAGAGGGGATGCCTTTGGGTGCAGGGTCCAATATGTAAGGCAGCTTCTTGTGGCATTTTCTTCAATTATGGGTGCTCTATTAAGGACTTCAAAAGGGTAGCCCTGTTAGCCTGTTGCAGCAAAGTAAACTAGAAAGCAGGTGGGCACCATTAAAACTAACCAGGTTTATTCCAGCATAAGTTTTTGATATTCCCTTCTCGGGTGTTCCGTATAAGGATAGACTTTGCAACTGTAATTTTGGGGAACCTGATTCTGTCACCCATATTCTTATTCGCTGTCCTAAATATTCCGTTATGCGCAATATTTTGATTCGCCCTCTTCTCCCTTCGCAGAGAGACTTTCTGGATAGGGATTTAAATTTCTTTCTAGCAGACAAGAGCCCAGCAATAATGCTATCTGTTGCAGAATTTCTGACCCATGTATGGAAGTCAAGAGTAATATCCTGTAAACCTTGTAAACCATGCTAGGATTGCCTTGTATTTTGAGATATTGGGAATATTGGTTGATGTTGTTCCTTGTACCTATCCTTTAACTTTTTCCTTTGTTTGATTTATCTATGTTATGCCAAATAAAGGTGTTCTGTTTCTCTCTCTCATATTCCCCTCTCACTTCTTCATGAAAGCTTATGTTGGAATAAACCTGGTTAGTCATAACAGTGCTGCTTGGTTCCTTTTTTATTTTTGAGACTCTTAAAGGTTAGAGGGCCCTCCCTAAACACCCCCCCCCTTTGTTTCACTGCATCCTTTGTCAATGCAGTTTTTTCACAGTTGAGGAAAACAGGTATTCAGTGCAATCCTAAACAGAATTGCAATGGGCTTTAAAGGGTGTAACTCTGTTTCGGCTTGCCTGGATTGGGATGGAGCCTGTGGACCTGTTCTTTCAATGGGAGAGACTGTGGGCTCAGTGAAAGAGAAGGCCACAGGTTCAGTCCCCAGTATGCCAATTAAATCAACTTGGTAGTAGGCGATGTGAAAGACCTTTGCCTGAAACTATGGATAGCCTACTGCCAGTGTGAGTCGACAACTGACCTTGTTCGTTTGATTCAGTATAGGGTAGTTTCATGAGTGTTCAATGGTAGTGCTTTAAACTACTGCAAAAGGCTTCCCCTGTTGCTAAAGGAGAAGCACCATTGTAGTGGAATCTTGAGTCTGCCATATCCAATCCATGCATAACATCTTTGCAAAAACTGGCTTCAGAATTCTAACATGGCATTACGGTGAGATTTTATGTCATGAACAACATCTCCCATTCACAAAAAACACAAAACAACCTCCCCCGTTGCATTTACACTATTTCTTCTGCTTTTCTTTTCCCATTTCACTTAATATAAACACTAAATACAAAGTTAAAGGATATGCACACATTATAATGATAACTGTTCAAGTTACTGCAACATTTATTTCTTTATTTCCTTACATTTCTGGGGAACAAATTCCAGTAAGAGATCACTGAAAGTTCTAGCAGAAGAACCATTTCCACAGACTGCAGTGTTGTTTTGGCCCTCTTCCATGTGCGAGGCCCAAGGCAGGCGCTCTGTTGCTCCCCCCCCCCCCGCAAGGGTCTGGTGCCTGTAGAAGAAGAGATTCGATGGGTTTCTTCTTGTACACTGTGAGCAAGCACCTACCGGTATACTGCAAAGTGGCCCGAAGTGTTCACACAGATAATGATTTGCTAATTCTCTAAATAACAATACAGTTCAGGTATGAGATCCAGACCATTCTCCCCCCCCCCCCCCAAACTCCACTGTGGTTTTTACACATTGTCCAGGGGGACCCTGGAAGCTTCCTGGGGCTCCGTAGTGAAAAGATCAGCCATGGCTTCCCCCCAAATATACTTACTAACTCACCAGGATTGATCTTCCCCTCGAAGGGAACATTGTTGAGCATGCTTCGTCAACAGAGATGATGGAGAGACCATGAACTGTGTGTACTCTGAGGGCATATCCCAGATTCCTGTGTGGTATGCAAAGGTACCATGGCTAGTGCTCAGGAATTCTCCAAGCAGACATGTTGTTGCAGAAAAGGCATCCCTTTGCAGGTAGAAAGTTTGAAAACAATAATCATTTACAGTTAGATAGCAGGTTGGGTGTTACAAATGCTTCACAGCAATTACTGCAGTAATGTACAACAACCTGTGAGGCAGGTCTACATTAATATTTCACATTGAAAATCAGGGAGAATGGGTTGAGGCTGAGAAAGTGTGACCTGCCCAAAGGCAGTTTGTGGCAGACATAAATAAGAACTTACTTAAGCTAAACCGGGTTACACCTTTCTAAGTCTGTTGATGTTAGTGTTCGTAGTACTGTTAGTCTCCACTAGTTTCCTGGGTCTAAAACCACTTGCTGTATCCCTTGATAATTGCAACCATCACCTAAAGCTCCCAATACATATTCAGCATATGCAGCTATCCTTTGCAGCTATCCCGGCCAGATCATTCAGATAACCCCCTAGAGATAGGAACCTTGATTTGCCAGCACAGCACACTTCAGATTATGGAATCTGCTTCCTTAATTTCCTTAAAGCAAAACCTTGAATCGATTGCTTTGCGATCCTGGGTCTGGAAGGGCCTGGGAGGGGAAACAGCTTTTTCACAGGAGCCATTAAACAGCAGTTTGGCTTTAGAATCTGACTTTAAATTGTCCTGATCATCAGGACTTTGAGGCAGGGCTGAGCTTTGCTAAATTACGTTCAGCCCTAGAAAAATCTGTAGTTGCAACAACTATTTTGTTTCCTGCATTCAAATCCCTGTTCTTGAAGTTCACTTGAGTGAATTGGGCCAGTCAATAGACTCTATATACCCATGCAAGGGATTCCAAAGAGCATTTAAGTTTTTTTGGGGAAAGTGTCTATTTCTACCCCCGGTCTCCTGAAATTTTGTTCTTAAGAATTGATGGACTTTCAGGAACCACATAAGGGGTAAACTGGGGGTCTGTAGTGGCAGAATTTGCTGCCCCCCATAAGAAAACTTAAAGCCCCTTGGAGACATCCATTCTGTCTAGTGCGCCTCACAAGGCTGCTGCGGGGACAAAATGGGTGAGGGGAGACTGGCATGTAAATCACCCTGAGCTGCATAGACTCATCTACACTGGAGTGAATTCGAAGCATGGCCGCAGAGTGCCCACTAACCATTGAACAGAAGCAGCTTGTCTTCTTAAGTTTCCAGTCCATAAATGAACAATTCTGTAGTGTTTTTTTTTTTTTGGGGGGGGGATTCTATTCTACAGTAAGAGGTAGGGCTGGGAACAGGAGTTGGCACTATGAGACCAGCGGGGGGGGGGGCTGCTGCCAACCTCCTGGAGCCCCCGGCTCTGCAGCTTCTCCTTTGCTTCTGTTGCCTGTCCTCCATGGGCAAATGGGCAACAATGGCAGGAAGGAAGAGCAGCCGCAGTTGTCAATGTAGCAACAAAGAGCCTCTTGTCAGATTTGGCCCCTAACTGGGACTGAGCATGCTTACTTACAACAGACCATGCTCTAGGGCAGCAACGGCAGCCCTTTGACCCTTTTTTTTTGCCCACAGCTGATATCAAGTTTACCTGTTCTACAGAAAAGTGATGCTCACTCTGTGGCTCACAGAGAGCCACATTCGCCATTGCCATCGGCCAAAAGAATCACATTTCCTTCCATCCCTGGCGCGAGGCCTGCATGTCATGGAAGTCCCGAGTTTACCTGTCCTGGTAGGTGTTTCAGGGTGGGAACCAGCTGCCAACCATGAGCTCCATTGGGCAACAGCCTTGCCCACTTTCCTAGGACATGTGGCAGGTACCACGTTGGAGAATGGTCCTCTGAAGAGCCACTGGTGGCATGTTGAAGAGCCACATGTGGTTCCAAAGCCACTGAGTTGAGTATCACTGCTATAGAAAATGAGGTCAAAATACAAAGACTGGACTATATTGTGCTATAAAACTTGTGGATGGGGAAAGAGTACAAAATTACCTATTATGACAAACTTGTAATGCTGTAGAAATAGCCCCCGGCCAGGGAAGAACAGAGCATGCTCAGCTGCCTCCCTTGTAGCCACTGCCCTTATAGGCCCATATTGGCTGTCAAAAAGTGAACCTGTCTCCCAAACCCCCACAAAGCAGCAAAGATGCCCCAATTACAAGAGAAAACATTTGTGTTTGTGATGATGAGACTGTAAAAGGAAGGCAAATACATTACGGTTCATTAAATGTAAAGACTGATAGTCTTTGGGCTGTGACTGCAATAACTTCATCTGGTTAGACAGTTAAATAGGATCAACCACAGAATCACACATTGCGGAACCACATTGTACTTTAAGATATCCCTCATCTCAATTTTTAAAGGCAGCTAGAAACATCAGAAAGAGAAATTTAAATAAGAATTCTATCCTGCATACCTCAGAAGTTGTGGAGTGAAAACCAAAAATCATTTGCCTCACAGACTGAGTCATTGCCAAGAAAGCATCCCTTCAAAAAGTGTAACCTCTAAAAACTACAAATGCAGAATATTAACCAATACACTTGACAAAAGAAGCAATGATCAGAACATGGCGTAATCATTGTGAGCACTTATTTCAAACTGTCTGTTATTCTACCTGTACACATAGGCAAGCAGAGGACATATGCACACACTGAACACAGCCAAGCCTCCTATAACCATAGTCAGAGGCACTGTTTCATCATATCCACAAATCAGGGAAGAAACAAAAATGGTTATCTGTTAAACTTTCTATTCTGCCTTGCCATGAAATACTCCAAATTTACTCCGTTTTGCAGTTAGTATCTGTTTAAACAAAGTTACCACCTTTCCCCCTATGACTGCTTCTCACAGCTAGTCCCAGAGTCCAAGAATGGGCTTTGTGTATTCCCACTTTCTGAAGTTATGTAGGTGGCAACCAGGGACAAAGGCTTTTTCAGTGGCGATGCCTTGGCTGCAGAATGCCTGACCCTACAGCAGTTCACTTGGCACTAAGTGAAAACCCTTTATACTTGGCTCAGGCCTCTGGATAATTGCAGTCCATTCCCTCATTTTAGGCCTTGGTTAAATCTTCACCCACTATGTTGCTGTTTTTTTAAAACCGAATGGTACTGATTGCATCTTTTCTTTTGTGGAATCCACACTGGTTTCACAAGATTTAAAAACAAACAGTTCTGACATTCATGCTGTATTTTGTTTGGGGAAAAGACAGCTAAAATAAAAAGTAAAACAGGAACAAGTACCCTTTCATCATTCCACAATTCAAATATGCAGTGCTTGGCAAGGAAAGGGAAGGAATGGAATGAGTAAAAGATGCAAAGGGGCAGAAAGCTGATACCCTTATGGCTGTTGGCAGGAAAAGACAGCAAGGGCTACAAGGGGACTGTTACAATCGAATCTCACAGAATCACAGAGCTGGAAGGGGCCATACAGGCCACCTAGCCCAACCCCCTGCTCAATGCAGGATCAGCCTAGAGCAGTGGTGGCGAACCTATGGCATGGGTGCCAGAGGTGGCACTCAGAGCCCTCTGTGTGGGCACGCGTGCCATCACCCCAGCCAGGCCCAGACCA